GTGGAAAAGAACCATCCTTCACCCTCACCTCCTTATCTTTATCATCTCACTGTTCCTGTCATGCCGGATTCTGAGTGAGCTGTACTAATTAATCTAGAAGATTAGGGGTGCCCGGGGGACTCAGTTGGTTAAGCATCGGACTTCTACTCAGGTCATGATCTCACAGTTTGTGACTTCAAGTTCCGCACTGGGCTCTGTGACAGCTCAGAGACTGGAGCCTGCTTCGGATTCTGTGTCTCCCTCTCTCTCTGCCCCTCTCCCACATGTGCTCACTCTCTCTCAAAATAAATTTTTAAAAATCTTTTTCAAGATTAAAGAGATAACTTATTGTTTTCAATATAGTCTCAGATCTTGGACTCTAAACTAAAGGTAAAACATGAAAAGCTGAAGAGCAAGTGATCCCCATAGGCTTATCACAGGTCTTGACATAATTTAACATTTAACAGTTGTATTGACAACTAAGTTGAGTCAAATTATGTCCATTTGGGGTCAGGTAGTATGGTATAGTGAAAAGAAAAAAAAAGCCAGCAGACAGACCTGGACTGAAGACAGAGTTCCCCCACTCACTGGCTTTGTTAACTCGGACAGGTTACGTAACGTTTCCAAGCCTTAGTTTGCTCAACAGTAAAATTTGATTACTAATCCCTATTGCACAGGACTGTCACCGTAATGAAGTAAGCCGCCATATATAAGCTCCTGCTTCTATGCGTGGCATACAGTGTGTGGTGGTGATGGTGGTGATCACTATTCCAGCAATTACACATATTGGTTGTGAGGCAGCAGTGGGTAAACCTGAAGTTAAAACAGGAACAAGACATAGTCTGTCTTCAGAGAGTTCTCAGTCAAATGGCACTAGTCAAGCAGTTGTTCCCGGTAAAATACTTGATGCAGAAATAAACGGACTCTTGGTTGCATCTCTCACATAAGGTCATGAGCCTTGAGAGTCCTGGTGTTTGTCCCAAAATTACTCTTCCAAGAGGGAACTGGTATTTGTTGATTGCATACAGTGTGAGGTACTGTGACAGATATTTACAACACTGTCTCATTTCTCCCTGTAATAACCCTACAGAATCAATGTTGTCACTCACATTTTATAGATGGCCAGGATCACTCCACGGACCGACACAGGTTCAAGCCCACCTCAGCCTGCCTTCAAGTTGTCTGTCACCTTCGACTGTCAGACTCCCACTCTTGTAGTATTGGACAGTTTGTAACTGTCAATGAAACACACTCTTGAATTAGCCTGTATCCTGCAATACTGGGATGGCTGTCCCAAAGGAGCGTTCTGAGGATGGAGGAGGGAATTTTTACAGGGCTTCAGCAGGAGAGGTCAGCCAACAACAACTGGTCAAAAGCAAATTCTCACAGATCACCACCATTAGCTTCTCACGGTGATTTGGATTTAACAAGATGCATGGGGAGGAAGTTACGGGCTAAAGTCATGAGCAGGAAGAGGTGAGGAGGGACAGCTCCCAGGGTCAAGGACAGCCAAGGACGTGAGGGTCACAGTGGAGCATTTTTGGTCCTTCAGGATCGTGTACACCAACATCTCAGTCTTTTCTTAATCCATTTGCAAAAGTTCAGAAGTAAGGATCTTTGCCTGTGCATCTACTCACTGTTATGTGGCAGAATGCGTCTGGAAAGATCAATTCTTTTTTTTTAATATTTCTTTTAATGTTTTTATTCTTTTATTTCTGAGAGAGAGAGCGTGAGCAGGGGAGGGTCAGAGAGAGAGGGAGATACAGAATCTGAAATAGGCTCTAGGCTCTGAGCTGTCAGCACAGAGCCTGATATGGGGCTCGAACCCACAAACCATGAGATCATGACCTAAGCCAAAGTCAGACGCTTAACCAACTGAGCCATCCAGGTGCCCCATCAATTCTTTGCCTTAAGATGTGTGATGTTACCACCAGTGTGATGTTTGTAATTGTGATGCTTAATGAAAAAAGTCCTGACTTGGAAGAGGGAAAACATGAACAATTGCTTAACCTGCTTGAGCCTGTTCCCTTCATGTGGCCAGGATGAGATGATCTGCACACAGCTTGAGGGAAGTAAAAGCACTTGTTTAATATTAAGCATGGTACTAATGTTTTTAGTAGGGTTATTTGGGCTGAAGTTTCTGTAGTAGGGAAATGGTGAACCACCTCATGTATTTCATCAGAAGAGGAGAATGTTTGACAATCCAGCCTGTGCAGATAGAGGCAGAAACTGATATAGGGAAAAAAAAAAACCAAAAAACTCTCAGTAGAGTGACATTAGATCCCTGTTGGTAAGGGTCTGGTGGCAGCTAATTTCTCTTTTGCTTTCTTGATGAAACAGAAGAAGGGGGGGGTAATAAATTTTAAAAAATAACCCCATAAAGACCCTGGGAGATGGGTTCTTTTGTTTTCATTTTTTTTTAATGTTTTTACTTATTTTTGAGAGAGACACAGAGCATGAGCAGGGGAGAGGCAGAGAGAGAGGGAGACACAGAATCCAACCCAGGCTCCAGGCTCTGAGCTGTCAGCACATAGCCTGATGTGGGGCTTGAACCCATGAACTGTGAGATCGTGACTTGAGCCGAAGTCGGATGCTTAACCAACTGAGCCACCCAGATGCCCCTGGTTCCTTTGTTCTGAACTGCTGTACACCATGTTATTGTGGTTTGTCCCTTCCTGCAGCATCATAGAGGATTCCAGAGCCTCCTTGTATCTGGTTTCACATTCTGTCCATTTAAATTCTCACTTCAGACAACTAAAGACTGATTAGTGGTATCAAAAGTTTGTGGAAAAAAAAAAAAAAAGTTTGTGTACAGGGGCACCTGGCTGGCTCAATCGGTGAAGCATGTGACTCTTGATCTCAGGATTGTGAGTTCAAGCCCCAGGTAGAGTGTAAAGATCACTAAAAAAAAAAAAAAAAAGCAATAACAAATTTGTGTACATTGGAATCTAGTCTTTCTAAATTAACCATGGATAAGGGCACGTGAAAAGCTACATGTAGTCGCTGACCTGAGCTATCGTGGAGCTGGACTCCAAGAGACCTAAATTTCCTGTGAAACTTTTGTATTCTTAAGGAGCGTGCATTTAACTGCGGGCCATCATGTCTCCCAGGATCCTTAGATCAAACAAGAATCTGGATGGAAGATTACAGACTTCGTGGGGCATGTGTGGGAGAGTCTGTGTGAGAGACCTTGTCGTTTAGCCTTGTCGCTCACACAGATTATTCAGTTCAGTCAAGTTCAATACTAGTGCCTAATCTCTACACCAAAAATTTAAAAATAGGGGAACTTGGCTCAGTCGGTTAATCGTCCAACTTCGGCTCAGGTCATGATCTCATGGTCTGTGAGTTTGAGCCCGGCGTCGGGCTCTGTACTGACAGACTGACAGCTCAGAGCCTGGAGCCTGCTTTGGATTCTGTGTCTTCCTCTCTCTCTGCCCCTCCCCCGCTCACTCTCTGTCTCTCAAAAATAAATAAATGCTAAAAAAAAATTTTTTTTAAAAGTGGAAGTAAACTACAGTAACTTTTTTTTGCACTGAATGTCAAGCAGGTGCTAGCAGCAAAGTGTCAAGGAGTATTCTAGATGCATGGAACCCTGCAGCAATGCGTGAATGTTGCTTTGGGGAATAATTCATTGCACTAAAACATTCCTGATCTACACATGAAGAACTGCTATGCTTATTAAACCTTCTATTGTGCTTAATTTGAATCAAATCTACCCGAAATAAAAGTGACTGTGTCTGGGTCTTAATTAAATTAGTTTTTCAGTCATGGCCTTTGGTTACAAGGACTTTGGACTACATGGTATCTTTTGTCCCTGATGAGAAATTAGGATCACATCATCAAATTTCATTTCATTTTTAAACACATTTCTCTGAAGTCCGCTTTATGCTTCTTGTTTAATTCCCACTTAAGGTTTTGCTTTTTCACGTTGGATGGTTACATTTTTTTAATGTTTATTTATTTATTTATTTTTGAGAGAGAGATAGAGTGTGAGTGGGGTAGGAGCAGAGAGAATGGGAGGGAAAGAATCCAAGCAGGTGCCGCACCGTCAGCACAGAGCCTGACACAGGGCTCGAACTCAGAAAGAGTGAGTTCATGACCTGAGCCAAGATCAAGAGTCAGATGCTCAACTGACTGAGCCACCCAGGCGCCCCTGGATAGTTAAATTTATAATAATTAGACAAACTTGGTTTTGACTTTTCCAAATCAATTATTTATAAAAATTTGGTCTTTGTGCAGCTGTAAAAATATGATCAGTTCTTTATGAAACAGATGTAAATTTTCCACTGGGTGGACTGTCTTCAAAAAGATTCCAACACTCGGATGATTTTTCCATGCAAATCAGCATGACTTTTTCTGAATTGTTTCTGTCATCACGTAGCTGTAATCGGGGAGGTCCTATTCATGTTATAATAGTCTAAATGAAGCACAGAAAGGAAAGCAGATTTCCTAAGTTGAAATTTAAAAAGCCTTGTAATTATGGATCAAGTTTATATCCCTGGGATCCACTATTACTCTTAATTTTAGAATAAGAATTGACTCTAGAAAATGAGTAGATTAATTTGTTATATTCTGTGCTGTAGGTTTCATCTCAAAAGTGCGATTTCATGACAAATAAAAGCGTGTTCATCACCACAAATATGTCTGAATTTCCTAAGTACTGCATTTCACACCAGCCATCCAAGCTTACCAAGCAGTGTCGTTTCTTCAAGGCAAAAATCTCTCAACATTCTTAGAGCATGAGCATGTAATTCACTAATTCACAAAGTTGCTGTCATTGTCGTCCTCCGATGTGAACTTAACCTTGTGTTACCTCGAGTAGAGTCTCACCAAAGTTTGTCTCAAGGGTCTTACATTTTATGTCGGGAAAAAAAAAAACCCAGCTGAGATTTTTCCAGAAAATACTTCCACAAGATCCGTGTTTCCCATTCTTAATGATCCGTTTACAGTTAAACATCATAAAGCATAAGTTCATTTTCATGTCAATCGCTATAAATCTAAAAACACTTCTCTCCTAGCAGGTCTTGCTATGTCTCTGGCTGGTCCAGCAGAGCCAAGTATAGATGAGCACCTCCCCAGTGTGGCCTTAGGACCCAGGAGGAGGTCTGCCGATTGCGCGGGAACCCTGGGCACAGGCGACTGTTCAAGAGGCAGCCCCAGTCACGCCTCTGATAGGAGCGTGGATTATAGCAGATCGCAGTGTTCCTGCAGAAGTTTAAGCTCTTGCTGTGATTATTCAGAAGACTTTCTCTCTGAAGGTTCTGAAACAGCTCTTCACAGAAATTACTCAGAAAACCCAATGATAAAAGAGAAAAAGGATGAGAAGAAAGAGTATAATGTCTCTAAGGTCTCCCAACCTAAAGGTAAGGAGCCAAATTTCCCAAGCAAGACCACATTTCTGTTCCCAGGGGCATTATTATTTAACGCACTAATATTTGAAGTAGTTCCTGTTCAGTTCCAGTGTTGTCCCATATGTTAAGTGTGTGTTTATAAAGGAACTTTTACGGAGGGAAATAGAGAAAATTGGGAATGATTACAAGATGGCAGGAAGTTAGGTTGAAAGCGTACAGCCTAGCCCTCCCGCACGCCTTACCCTGCCGGAGCCTACCAGTGAGGTTAGTTCCGTTTTTAGTTAACAGGTGGCCTCCTTACTTGGATTTCACTGGCTTCCTGCCTTTCATCTCCACTGAAGAGTCAAAGTTTGAATTGCCAATGAAATGTAAATACGTGTCTCAGCACCCCAAGAGGATGGTCTCCAAGTCCGGTGAGGCAAAGATCATCTTTTGAAACAGAGGTGGTTCAACAGGCTGTTGACAATGTCATTCCCTCGTGGACCACAGAGTGCCAACACCATCAATTCCTAACTGTCCAAACTGACAGTAGCCTTGCGATGTCCTTGATCTCGCTCCCTGCCTCCCTGCCCAGACTGTGATTACCTCCTCCCATTTTAGGCAATCCTGGGCTTATAAATATTCCTAATATGGAAATAGCTGAAACTTTTCTTCCACTGTGGCCATCGGGACTGCCATCAGTCAACAGCTGGAAAATACTCAAGTACTTACTATGTGGGCAGCACGTCTACTGGCAGGTGTGCCCCGTATCTCCCACGCCCAGCCTGCTGTGACCAGGCGGCCTAGGACTCCCTTTGCTCCTTCAGGGCCATCTAGAGCCTTCAGGTCCCCTTCTTCCCAGCTACAGGGCAGGGATTCTTAACCTTAGACCCATGTCTCTGGACCGCATGAAAATCTTTGCATTTTTTGGTGTCCATTTGCATTTGTGAACTTTTCCAGGGAGAAGGACCCATGAGCTTCCACCAGATTCTCAAAAGGCTAAAAGTTCCTTTTCTAGAGAAGTGGGAGTCTTACGCTCATGGTCAAGGCCAAGGGTAGAAGATGAAAAGCCTAGTTCCTTCTCTAACGTGGGGCTCTGTCAAGAGAATTCTGTTTGTGGCATTTGGGAGAGATGATCACAACAGAACCTACATCACGGTTGGGCTCCATGGTTATGATCCCTTCTCCGCATCTGTAATTTACTGAAAATCAAACAGTTTGGGCACCTAAACTGATATGGCAACAAAAACCAGATTTGAACTAACATGAGACTGATCTTTAGTTCACTAAGGTGAATAGCCACATACTTCACAAAAATATTCTTTGACTGAAGTATGCTATCCCCAGCCCTACTGGGAATTCTGTGGGAAATACTGTATATGCACCAAAATAATAATAATAATAATAATAATAATAATAATAATAATTCAGAAGCAGTCTGGCCCCAAAGTTTTATGACAGGGATCATGAATCTATACATTACATTTTGTATTGATTCTACATTTTTGTGGGTTTGTATGAAAGGCTGTTAGCATTTACAAAACTATTTCTACACGAACTGTACTTTGAGTTCTAAGTGCCTGACAATTTTACTTTTAAAAATTGTTTCATTTCTTTATTCACAAATACTTATTGAGTCATTCATGCAAGAAACCTGGTCATAATTGGGAGCAGCCAAAATTAATTTAGTCACTTCATTAAGAGTAGTTTAATCATTGGGTTAATCTGCCTCACTATATGAAATGAGATAGAAATTATAAATTTGGTCATTCTTATGTGGGGGTTACTGTAATGAGATGCAAACTCATTAAGGACTACACCCAATTTCACTTTTCCATAACCTTGATTAGTATACAAGTATGCATAATGTGTACAGAATGACTTTATTCTATGTCACTCAAATACAAGTGGTACATTTATCTTCTGAAGTAAGTCTGGTTCATCCTCCCCCAAGCATGTAGATAGAGAAGGCAAAAAATTCAGTCTCAGGCATGTGTGGGGGAAGGAGGGAGTTTGGGCGGCCTTACACAGAGAGAATACTTGGGGAAGGGCTTCTGGTCCTTCATTTCCATGACAAGCGTTCCTTGTCCAATCGCATGGGGTCACTAAAAGGCTGACACCTCCTGTTTTCAAAGGACATATGCCCTGCATGTACATCTCAACATGGGGCCTTGGCAGGGGCACCCATGGCCACAGGGATTGGTCCCCAGGCACCCATTCATGCTGACTCTGCCCTCCCATCATGTGAGCACAGCATACGACAGGGACATAAGCCTCCATGGCCCATGGAACCCAACCCCCCCCCCATTGTTCTCGTCTCAGGGATTCCCCTCTCCTCCGAGGATGCACTACCCAAGAGGAGTGAGACACTGTAAGTTGGGAGTCAAGTGTTGGTCATGCTGGACGTGGCGTAGAACATGACAGCCCCCACCTACCCCGTTTTAATCTAGCCTGGTGCACCTGGGTCTGGGGCTCTCCCAGCCAGTGCCCGGCCTCAGAGGTCAACCTCTGCTTTCCAATTTTCAATATGCTCAAACACCTATTCCAAAACACTCAAACCACGGCCTTTACTAAATCGCTCCCAGTGGGAAAATAAAGACGTGTGGGGGCGCAGTTGTAAAGACAGTCCATCGATTACTAATGTGACTAACAGATGCTGTAATCGTTGCCACATCTACGTGGTCTGTCACAGTCATGACTGAGATGCCTCATCCCCGGAAGCAGCTTCCACGTCTTTTGGCTCATGATTTCCAGCACGGGCAGAATCACCTTTTCCACAACCTACACCAAACTTCCTGAGCCATGCCTCGGGTGATGTGTCCTCACTTGGGCAATAGCTTTAGGTTAGGACCCCAGGGACATTGGCCACTAGGTGCTTTCTCTCTCCAGGATGAAGACTATATATTTTTTAGGCTCTAGAATCTAATTTCAGTCTCTCTCAGAATATGGCTACACTAGAGGCACCTGGGTGGCTGGTTGATGAAGCATCCAATTCTTGATTTCAGCTCAGGTCATGCATGATCTCACAGTTCATGCGATCAAGCCCTGAGTCAGGATCCATGCTGGGAGGGTGGAGCCTGCTTGGGATTCTCTCTCCCTTCTCTCCTTTCTCTGCCCCTCCCCTACTCATGCATTCTCTCTTTCAATATAAATCAATAAAGTTAAAAAAGAATATAGATATACAAATATGTGCACACGCACATACACAGAATGCACATAGACACGGAAATGTCATATAAATGCACATACACATGGGGCAGTAGCATGGGCACACAGACCTGGGTTCTGTCTCCCCACTTACTAGCTGTGTGCCCATCGAGGAGGGATGTCACGAAGCATCAGTTTGTTCATCTTTAAAATGGGATAAAAATGCAGCGATGTTACACATACATTGGACACACTCAGTTTAGTTATATAAGTTGGTGAGACATTGTTTAGAAACATTTTGCTTACAATAGACTTCTGAATACAAGTCAACTAACTACTTCCTTTAGAGCCCAACGTAACAGGAAAACTTGGCTATGTCGGATTTACCGAGAGACAGAATATCCGTACATATAGCCTAAGAAGTTCAATGGCTTTCTGAGGCTCTTTTTGAATATAGAAGATCTTCATATAACCTCGGAGTCTAAGGTTATGCTTGAATTGCTTCGTAACATGATTGGAAGGATTATATCAGATAATCTACATAAAGCATTTAGTTCAATGCTTAACATGCGGTAAACCCTTAGTAAATGTTATTATGGTTTTTAGTAGAACTTTAATAATAGAAATAAGTACAGATTTTACAGTCAAAGAAAGATTGGTTTTCCATCCATTCTATGTCACTTTGTGGTTATATGACCTTGGACAAATGACTTATAATCTTCAGCTGTAAAAAAGACGGCGACTGACCTTAAATGAGGTATCTATATATGAAGTCCCTACGCTGAAGCATGGCTATCATTACATGGTCCTTCACCTGATATGTGTGTGGGGTGCGGGTGTGGGTAACACATATGTGCATGTCTGCATACGTATATGCATATTACTAGTAACAAACTGGATTATCTGCTTACACAGGCCAGAAGGGAATCTCCGTTGAAAAAAGGCACAACCGGAACGCACCACTTTTAAATTCTCAGAACACTGTTATTACCCAAAAAAGGGATGCCATGACTCATCGCATCCTCTCAGCAAGACTCCAGAAGATTAAGGAGCTGAAAAATGAACTATGTGATATACATCGTAAATTAGAAGCCACAGTCATAGAAAACCAATTTCTGAAACATCTTCAGCTTAGACACTTGAAAGCTATAGGAAAATATGAGAATTCACAGCATAACCTACCTCAAATTATGGTAAAACATCAGAATGAAGTCAAAAATTTAAGGCAACTCCTTAGGAAATCCCAGGAAAAGGAAAGAAGCGCCTCGAGGAAACTTCGAGAAGCCGACTGTGAGCTGCTTAAGACTAAAGACTCCTTGCAGGCATTGCAGAGACTTTCTGAAGACAAAAATCTTGCAGAGAGGGAAGAACTCACTCAAAGATTGTCTGTTCTCACAACAAAAATGGAGGCAAATGACAAAAAAATACAGGTCCGTATTTCAGAGGCCTAGAAATTGTAATGTTCCAAGATTGATACAGAGAGGGTACACATGCATCACGCTTGCCCCTGTGTAGTGAAGCATTACCAGCTGCTTTGCTGTCCAGTGGGGGCAGGGGACAGGGCACGGGACAAGGGGAGAGGTTCCTTCTGTTGTCTGGAAATGAGCGTTCAGTAAGTGTGTTCATGTGCTGGAAAGGTGTTGGGTTGGGTTGTGTGAAATCTCTGAGAAGCCGACCTTCTCCTTGAATCTGCTAAGTAAAGGCCCACTTCCCTAAAAGTCTGCCCCCCTATATCTCTCCAGCCCCTCTCCTTGTGTTCCCCCTGGTCAACTGGCTAGTCACTACCGCACAGACATTGTTGTATGCTGGAAACAAGGAATGCTCCCGGGAACAGAGAGGGGGAAGGGAATTAAAATCATCTAGTGAATGGGTTGATTTTCCAGAATGGCACGTGGCTGTCAAAGGCTTGGGGACTGCTCTATGAGGGACGATTTGGGAGAAAACCCTGATTATACTGAGAATTCTGCCTATTTTGTGTTCGTTCTTGGTCTCTATGGACATAAACATAAATAAAATTAGTTTACTGTTTAATTCCTTATATTGATGGTGACGGGCGAGTATTTTTTACGAACTTGAAATAATAAGAAAATATCAAGTTCATTTCACCCACTTTCGTAGCATTTATTTCTTCTTTGGTAAAAATCCTCTATTTTCAAAGAGAACTTCCTCATATGAAGTGGATATGTGAGCTACAGAAAGTGACAAGCAGCTGCATTTTCAGTCACGTAAATAATGTAGAAAAGTTCGATTATTCGGCCTCCTACGTTAATAGTGGACCCCTCTTAACTCATATCTGTCAAGTAAATGTCGTATCTTCCCTACGTATTTTTTAAGTACACATGTGAATTAGTTCATGTTTGTGTATCTGTAACCAAAACCAAAAAGAATTCAAGAACTCTTTTCCTCTCAGAAGCACTCAGTTGTGTGGGAAATTCGGTTGGTTGTAGGGAAAACGTTGATGAGCCAAAACATGTCGGTATTTTTCTTTAGTATTAATACTTTGGGGACCGGGATTTTACTGATTATTTCAACCTTTCAGGTTACCATATTGCCCACTTTTAATGAGAAAGCATTAATATTATAATGGGAAAAAACACACTTAATGGGAAAAAGAAAGAGAGGGGAGGGGAGGGAAGGGAAGGTCTTTTGGCCAAGCCTCTGTCAAAGTTCAGACCAAAGAGTTCTTGCGATAAAACTGTTCTCATTCTGGAGAAGAGGCGCCTACGCAGCAGGCAGCCCTGGGCACCGACCTGGGCCGCCTCTCCAGGTCTGAGAACGCCCTTCGCCCTGGGGGCGGGGCGCTGCGACGCCTGCGGGAGCTTCCGGAATCGGTCCTCCAAGACGCACGCATGCGCGGCCGCCCGGCTGAAGGACCGCCCCCTGGCGGGCAAGGCTTGCCTGACAGCTTCCCGCGCACCTGCCAAGTTCGCGGGTCATCGTGTTGGCACAGCCACCAGGGTTGAGTTCTGAAGCAGGGCGTTGATGATATTTATTAATTGTCGGGAAATGCCCGAAGGTTATTTTTTTTAAATCCAATTCAGGCGTGTAAAGATCACTAGGTTCGAAACATACTTATTCTCTAGAGTTGGGATGGGGGTGGGGGTTCGGCTCTTGGGTCTGTGTGTGAGGTTCTGTTCAGTTCCAGCATGTTCCCTGCACCGGCCATGCGCTGAAGTTGTGTTAAAGTTACACACTTCTCGTAAATGCAGTTAGTCCATTACAGGTGAACCTTTTAAACAATATGACACTGGTTACAGAATAGTTGAAATATATACTGTTTTCAGAGCTTGGAGAAAAAATTGAGGCTGAACAACAGAGTCTTTAATCGGCAGCTGGCCATTGAGAACCGGAAGACGTTAGCAGCCCAGGCAGCTACAAAGACTCTGCAAATGGAAATAAAACACCTTCAACAAAAACTTAAGGTAAATGTAACCAAATCTGTGAAATTCTGCTTCCCCAAGTATCAGAGCTGTTCCTTAAATTATTTAACACTGGGGATCTGTTCCTCAAATTAACTTTTTCCCTACAACCGACCGACCGCAGGAACAGATAGAGGATCTGGAATCACGAGGGTGTGTCCACAGCCTGATGAGCGTGTGCCGTCTCTAGAGAACTTAAAGCTCTACACTGTTGGTTAACAAAGTCTCCTGTTTCCATCCCCATTTCATCATATGAATTAATATTATTGTATTTCGTTATCATTTGAGCGGAAGCCAAACTAAGTTTTCAAATTTAAAAATTAACTTACATCACTAAAACATTTAGAGTCATTTTAATGGCCCACAAATTCAGTTTAAAGTCTACTTGAATTGGGGGGCCTTGGGTGGCTCAGTCGGTTAAGTGCCCAACTCTTGATTTTGGCTCAGGTCATGATCTCATGGTTGTGAGATCAAGCCCTGTGTCAGGCTCCAGGCTCAGCATGGGATTCTCTCTCTCTGTCCCTCTGTCTCTGTCCCTATCCTGCTCACATTATCTCAAAATAAATAAAAAGAAGCATTAAAATAATAAATAAATAAAGTCTACTTGGAGGTACTTGCAAAACTGTCTTTAAAAAAATTTTTTTTAATGTTTATTTTTTGAGAGAGAGAGACAGAACACAAGCAGGGAAAGGGCAGAGAGAGAGGGAGACACAGAATCTGAGGCAGGGTCCAGGCTCTGAGCTGTCAGCACAGAGCCCAACATGGGGCTCGAACCCACAGAGCATGAGATCATGACCTGAGCAGAAGTAAGACACTCAACTGACCTAAGCCACCACAGGCGCCCCAAAACTGTCTTTTAAAGTGTGCTTTAGGGGAGCCTGGGTGGCTCAGTTGGTTAAGCATCTGACTTCGGCTCAGGTCATGATCTCTTGGTTCATGGGTTCGAGCCCCGTGTCAGGCTCTGTGCTGACAGCCAGCTCAGAGACTGGAGCCTGTTTCAGATTCTGTATCACCCTCTCTCTCTGACCCTCTCCTGCTCACGCTGTCTGTCTGTCTGTCTGTCTGTCTCTCACTTTCTCTCAGAAATAAATAAAACGTTTTTAAAAATTTTTTAATAAAATAAAGTGTGCTTTAAAGATGAGAATTAAAATTTTTTTCAGACTTTTGCTATCTTTCTGCCTGCAAGACTTCTAAAATGGCCAATAAGTTGGAAAAAAAACTAGATAAAACACTTAAATACAACTCTTTCAAGCCTCAACTAGCAAATCTTTTTTTTTTAATGTTTTATTTATTTCTAGGAGAGAGAGAGAGAGACAGCGTGAGCAGGAGAGGGTCAGAGAGAGAGGGAGTCACATACTCTGAAACAGGCTCCAGGCTCTGAGCTGGCAGTCAGCACAGAGCCTGACACGGGGCTCGAACCCACGAACTGCGAGATCATGACCTAAGCGAAAGTCGGACGCTTAACCGACTAAGCCACCCAGGTGCCCCTCAACTAGCAAATCTTAAATTTGATTCTTTAACACAAGAATCTTTAACTTTCTTATTACAAGTAGAGAATTCAGATTTCACAGGAGCCTGGAGAGGACTCAGAGGCAGCGAAGGATATTAGGAAAGAAAGTTGGATGTAAACTTTCCCTTTGTAGAGCAGGAATAGAGTTCTCTTTCTTTCTTCTCTGGGATCTCAGGAAACTTCAGAGAGAAGAGTTGGCCAGAAAATGGGTGTGACCATAGCAACTAGCTTAGAAATCTAACAGAAGAGTCTTCAAGACCCACTCACTGGTCAAGGCAAACATACTCACATATATGGAGACACTATCAAAGAATTTTAAAATTAGCATTTTGTGGGGGTGCCTGGGTGGCTCAGTCAGTTAAGCGTCCAACTTCGGCTCAGGTCATGATCTCGAGGTTCATGGGTTTGAGCCCCACGTTGGGCTCTGTGCTGACAGCCAGCTCAGAGCCTGGAGCGTGTTTCAGATTCTGTGTCTCCTTCTCTCTCTGACCCTCCCCTGCTCACGCTGTCTCTCTCTCTCTCAGAAATAAATAAAACTTTTAAAAAAAGTTAAAAAATAAAATAAAACAAAATAAAATAAATTTTGTGCTTTCATATTAAATGATATGCATATAAATACTATGCAATCATTAAAAAACTATTTTGAAAGGGGAAATGCTTAATACTTAATGAATACCTTAAAGGAAGATGCAAAATTCTATATGCAGTAAGATCTATATTTATTTACAAAAAAAAAGTAAATATACCTCTACACATTTCTGTGCTTCTGTAGAAAGGAGGACTCTTTACAGAATAATATGGTAATCTCTAGGATATACGGATAAGTGAAAAAAGGCAGCCAGAGGAAAGTGTGTAGCATGCCACCATTTAAATTTTTTTTAATGTTTATTATTATTGAGACAGAGAGAAACACAGCATGAGCAGGGGAGGGGCAGAGAGAGAGGGAGACACAGAATCCGAAACAGGCTCCAGGCTCTGAATTGTCAGCACAGAGCCTGATGCAGGGCTTGAACCCATGAACTGTGAGATCATGACTTGAGCCAAAGTCGGACGCTCAGCCGACTGAGCCACCCAGGCGCCCCGGCATGCCAACATTTAAAAACAGAAGGAATATAGGGGCACCTCTCAAAAATAAACATTTAAAAAATAATAATTAATAAATATTTAAAAATTATTGGACAGTTGGAAAAATAGGAAACAAACTCAATGTTTATATTAAGGGACTATTACTGATTTTTTCTTTTCTTTGGTAGGAGAAATGTTGATACTGTGGTTAGATTTTAAAAGGGATGCCCTGGTCTCCTATAGATACATAGTGAAATACAGATTAAATTATACGATGTCTAGGATTTGCCTCAAAATAATTCACAGCGGGAGAATGGGATCAGAGGGCCGTGTGCAGAGAGAGACGGACGGGGTAGGAGTTGTTCATTAGTGAAGCTGGTTCATTGGTTCATGATTCACTGTACTATTATCTCTATTTTTGTATATTTTTGATATTTTTGATAATAAAATCCTTTCAAAGGGAAAAATAAGAAAAATTACATATTTTACGCACAAAAGAGTTGAACCACGTCAAGAAGACGAGCTAAACACATGCTTTTCATCCCTTCCTGCCACAACCCTATGGAAATGACACAAAACATATTTTAAAACAATAACGCATAACCCCAGAAAGGATACCAGTATCGTACCAGAACTTCCAAAGAATTTCTGGGAGATAAAAGATCAAAAACAATGTTTGGGGTTGATTGAGAAACCAGACACCAATAATCACAAGCTAAATCACAGTGCAGAAAAATTGCTGGTGGCGTAACAGGAAAGGGGAGGGAAACCCCAAGCTCAGAATCAACACAAGCGGACAGCGGGAGTGGAGCCCTGGGGCAGCCCTCTCCGCATTTGCTTGAAACCGCGGTCCTCACACTTGGCCGCACGTTGATCATCTGGGGAGCTCTGAACACTCTGCTGCCCCCACCACCCCATATCCATGAAAGCAGACTCTCCCCGTGTGCGTACCTTACACCACATTCACCAGCAGGTAGACAGGGACCTTGGTTTGGCCTGAGAAGGACACTGTTCACTCTGGCCTTGACTGTTGGTGATGACAGACTCTCTGAAACTCCCCTCCCTTCGGAACCCCCAAGGAAGTAATCAGTAAAGGGCTGAAAGTGGACCCACAGAAGCGAAGAGCCGCGGGCAAGTCATCCACCAACAGCAGGGATTTGGGGACATTTGTTGAAGACAGAACACAGGTGGAAGCCTTTCTATGGGTGACACAGAGGAGAAGCAGCCACAGCAAGGGTGCTTGGAGAAGCATCTGCCCCGTGGAGGACAGGGGCAGGAGGCATTTGAGCACAGGGGACTGTGTCACCAAAGTCACCTGACCGCCCTTAACAGGACTCAACAGCATCAGAGTCCAGCACTTTCCATCAGGCAGAGAGGCTGTGAATGAACGTGAATGGATGGCTTGAGAAGAAACGAGGCACCTGGGGTAAATGTCGGTATCCGAGGTAAAGCCCTTCCAAGGGGAGATTCTGGAATATGGGAGGAACTTAGTCAAATGACTCCCCTCAGAGTGAAACCTGACGGTCAGCAAGTCCCACTGATTTACCCAGAGCCTGCCTTTCCGTTCAGAGAAGAAGCCTACAACAGAAATGAATGTCCACACAAAACAGAGGGTAAATAAAATAATCCAGCCTGTTATTCTTAAATATGTTCGTTCAGCCAAATCTCTGAAGAAAACCAGCATCGTGAAGAAAGAACAAGAATGACCAGCAGACCAGCCCACCCCATAGGCTCAGTTTCATATGCAGGAGAGACGATACTCTGTGCCCATAAGTGGTATGAAAATGGGAAAAAATCAGAAAACAGTAAGTGAACATTTAAAAAGATGATTCCATCATACAAAATTCAGTAGAAGAGTTGGCAGGTAAGGAGAATCTAGGGATATTGGGGAAATCTTCCAAAAACAAAGAGCCAGCAGACACATGAAAAACACTGAAAGGAAAAGAAGACGCCCAGGGAGTATGCCACACAAAATAATTTAGAACAATCAATGAGGTCATTTCCCAAAATGCAAATGATTCAACCCACGGCCTATCACCTAGAGTTTCTTCCTCATTCAGGATATACGCCTACCCCCTTACAGTCCTGTCTCTGCTGGAAAAATGAGGTGGACTTTTATGCTTCATGGTCACCGTGGGTACTGACAAGGAGTAGAGAAACAGCAACTTTAAGGATATGTTAGCAACCTGACTGTTTCAGTCACGATGGCTACATATTACTCCATAACTTAGTGGCTTAAGAAATGACGATACTGGGGGGCGCCTGGGTGGCTCAGCCAGTTAACCATCCAAATCTTGATCTTGGCTCAGGTGTTGATCTAGGGGACTTGACTTCAAGCCCCGTGCTGGGTTCTGAGCTAGGCATGAAACCTACTTCAAAAAAAGAAAAAGAAAAAAGAAAAATGACATTAATTTTGCTCACACATCCACAATTTAGCAGGGCTTTCCAGGGTTAGCTCATCTCTGCCTTCTTGACATCAACTGAGGAGGTTCAAAGGCTGGGGCTGGAATTCTCTGAAGTCTCTCATGTCTGTCTGCAGTTGGTATCAACTGACAGCTGAGGCCATAACTGGGATGTCTCCATGTGGTGTGGGCTTCCTTACAACATGGCAGCCGGGTCCCAACGAGAAGAGTGGGGAGATACAGACCGAAAGAGGACCAGTCACACAGCATCTCTGCCACCTCATTCCCTTTGTCAAGGCAGCACCAGGGAAGGGGCAATAGATTCTGCCTCTTCATGGGGAGTCACGAGTTTCTGGAAGAGCATACGGGACCGGAAATATTGCTGAAGCGATGTTAAGTAAATGCAACCTGCCACGTTAACACAAATCATTAGGACCCGAGCTTGGGAAGGCATGGTCCCAAAGATCAAAACTTCAGTTTCGGCACTTTGAACCTTGTTTCAGAGGTCACCCAACACCAGTTCTAGACACTGCTCTATTTCCGGAATATGGGCCAAAATAAGGGAGATGTCAATCCCCTACAGCTCCCAGGTGAGGTACTGCAATGCCACCCTGCATCCAGGGTACGAGCTCACCCCTGCCAAAGTGGCATTGTCTATTTAGACACTGTTTTCTGGCTTTTGGAAACCATCTGCTCTGATCGTAACACGGTTCCCCACCGTGACCCAACTTCCCACTGAACTCTGATAACCTGATAACCTTGGAGCCTGTGAGTAGTCTTTCCTATGAATATTCCGCAAACATGCCATGAGCATTCCTCAATGTGGATTTTCCTTCTTAATTTTTCTCTCTCTCTACCTTTTTTAAGTGTTTATTTATTTATTGTGCACGAGCAGAGGAAGGGCAGACAGAGAGAATTCCAAGCAGTTCCGCACTGTCAGCGCAGAGCCCTCCTCAGGGCTCGAACGCACGAACCCTGAGATCATGACCTGAGCCGAATTTGAGTCAGACACTTAACCAACTGAGCCACCCAGGCACCCCTCTTATTTCTCTTGATTAACTGACTGACCTCAACTACACAAGTGTCCTGGACTGTGTTCTGAACCTGTTGTCTTTGATTTTGGACCCAGCTCTGTGAAGAGCGTCCGTCCAAACTTGAACCTTTGTTCCAAGCCTGAGGGAGGGCTGTCCTTTCCTTTTGCCCCCAGCCAGCCCTGCACTAGTCACCCGTCAGCCAGCATTTCTCATCTGCCTTCTTCCTGCTCTCTGCTGCCGATGCACATACTAGACCCTCCAAGGAGCCAGACTGAATCAAAATAAGTAACGGAATTTTCCAGATGATCAACGCTTGGCCCTCTAAACATCAAAATCTTTGTTTTATTTTTAAATGTTTATGTATTTATTTTTGAGAGAGGGAGACACACACACAGAGAGAGAGAGAGAGAGAGAGGGTAGGGGATGGGAAGAGACAGAGGGAGACAGAGAATCCCAAGCAGGCTCCTTGCTGTCAGCACAGAGCCCGATGTGGGGTTTGAACCCAAAAACCATGAGATCATGACCTGAGCCAAAACCAAGAGTCGGAGGGTTAACCAACTGAGTCACCCAGGCACTCCAAAATCTTTCTTGTCTTAACCAGTGGGGGTAAAAACTTCCTAAGATGTTCTACATTATATTATTCTTAAACATGATATCCAGAATAAAGTTGACCCACCTTTCATGGTCATAAACTCTCACCATTACCATTCTTTCTTGCTAAGTGACGTGTTATCACAACAAGAAAGAAAGAAAAAGAGAAATATACTGTGATATTTTTGCTCCTAGAAAGTTAAATTCTAGAAAATATTAATATTCTCATATTGTATACATTTATATACCTCTGATAGTAAATTAAGTTTTTGAATTTTTTTAATGTTTATTTATTTTTGAGAGAGAGAGAGAGTCCAAGCAGGGGAGGGGCAGAGAGAGACACACACACAGAATCTGAAGTAGCTCCAGGCTCTGAGCTGTCACCACAGAGCCCGATGCGGGGCTTGAACCCATGAACTGTGAGATCATGACCTGGGCCCAAGTCAGACATGTATTAATCGACTGAGCCACTTAATTTATCCAGGTGCCCCTGATGGTAAATTAATTTTATGATGAAAATAAGTACAGGGTGCCTGGGTGGCTTAGTCAGTTAAGCGTCCAACTCTTGATTTCAGCTTAGGTCCTGATCTCATGGGTTTGTGAGTTCAAACCCCCTGTCAGGCTCTACACATTAGTGCAGAGATTCTCTTGGGATTCTCTCTCTCTCTCTCTCTGTCTCTCTGCCCCTCCCTCACTTGTGCACACATGCGCTGTCAAAATAAACATTAAAAATAAAATCAGCACAAAACCTGCCCTCTCCAACTGAGATGTGCAGCACATGTACAATTTTTATTTTCCGTAACTGAACTGTACTTCCTTCTGAGCCCCGTTCGGCAAGTCGGAGGTGGGCAGAGCGGTGGACATGGAAGCTGGGTGGACGCTTGTCTCAGGCTGCCCTAACGAAAACTGGCCCCATTTCGGTGGTCTCTGAGACTTGGAGGTCTCTGTGGAGACAGCATCTAGCCCAAGAGGGGGTGCACGCGTTCTGCTGGTAAAAGGAGAGGGAGGCCCCTGCCCCTTGGGCACCTGTAGCCGAAGTGAGGAGTGACAGGTCCTAACTGTAGTGACGAGTGACAGGTCCTAACTGGCGGAGCTCCCAGGACCCGTCTGGCATGTACTGAACGTGTCTGGTGACGCTCGCGGCCTCTGCTCCGTAGGTCACATCGCGGCGATCTCCGCTTGGTGCCTTGAGACGCGTCTGCCATCGCATCCTTGGCTGGACGGTCGGCCCCAGGGCCTGTGCTGGGAGCACCTGGGTCAGCGGCGTTACGGACTGGGAAGCAGGCTCCCTGGCTCTGCCCTCCGCTCCCCTGCCCTCTCTGGGTCCCGCCATGTTACTTGGGCTCCACGCTGAAGGGGGGCTTGACCCAGGGGGTTGAGTTTCCCAGGCCGCACCAAGCCTCCTGCGCTCAGACTTCCCCAAACCTCGGAGTTGTTTCTTTGCCCTCCTAATGTCCCCGAGGGCCACAGGGAGACCAGAACCCCATCCGATTTCTCTTTTTCTCTCTCTGCTTCCTACCTCTACCGTCCTTCCCTGGCCCCTTCCTCTGAACCTTCCTGTGTAATCATTCAAAAGACAGCCTTGACTCATATATACCCACTCCTTTTTTTTTTTTTTTAAGGAAAGGGGGAGGGGGTGCAGAGGGAGAGAGTCCTAAGCAAGTCCCAAGCTCAGCGTGGAGCCCAACATGGCTGGGCTCGATCCCACGACCCTGGGATCGTGACCTGAGCTGAAATCAAGAGTCAGGTGCCTAACCGGCTGAGGCACCCAGGAGCCCCTGCCCACTCCCTTTGACTGTGGTTTTGACTAAAACTCAGTAGTCTTGAGTCTAACAGGCTTGCTCTTGATGCATGTGTAAGAGAGTGTTTAGTGCTTCATGAAATTTTTTTTTTCTCAACAAGCCAGGATTTCAAAACTTCTGTTTTGCCAAGACTTAAAAAAAAAAAAAAAAAAAAGTTTTAATGTTTATTTATTTTTGAAAGAAACAGAGCACGAGCAGGGGAGGGGCAGAGAGAGACGGAGACACAGAATCCAAAGCAGGCTCCGAGCTGTCAGCGCAGAGCCTGACGCAGGGCTCGAACCCACGAACCGCAAGATATGACCTGCGCCAAAGTCAGGCGCTTAATCGACGGAGCCCCCCAGCGCCCCTGTTTTGCTAAGACTTTAAAAAGCCAAACTTGAGATTTAAAGCTGAACAGCGATGCCTCTATTCTGTGCTTTTACTGTCTCGACGCAGCCCCGTCTTGGTGGGAATGTTCCACTGCCCCGGCCGGCGTGTGGCCTCCAGTGCAGCCCTGAGCACTGGAAATATTGCAGTGCCCCTGGGGACTGCGCGGTGCATTTCATTTTCATTAGTTTAGACCACAGTGCCACTAGTGGCTGTGTTGGACCACGAGAAAGACAGCAAACTTCGGGGCGCAGACCCAGGGGACAGAAGCTGCCGTGAGAGCAGCTGGCTTGCAAACCCCTCAGCACTGCCGTCCCCGCCACAACGGTCTGTTGCTCTATTCAAAGGTGCTTTCTAGTGTCAGGGATGATCTAGAAAGAACGGCCTATTTCTGTTCCTGCCGGCATCTACAGAGTTTATTCAAAGCATACTGAGGGGCGCCCGGGTGGCTCAGTCGGTTAAGCGTCCGACTTCGGCTCAGGTCATGATCTCACGGTTCGTGGGTTCGAGCCCCGCGTCGGGCTCTGTGCTGACAGCTCAGAGCCTGGATCCTGCTTCGGATGCTGTCTCCCTCTCTCTCTGACCCTCCCCTGCTCACACTGTCTCTCTCCCTCTCTCTCTCTGTCAGAAATAAATAAAACATTTTTTAAAAATTTCAAAGCATACTGAGCCCACTCAGCGTCTTTTAGAGAAGACATCCCGGCTGCTAAAGGCAAATATTTACGGAGAAATTGGTATTTGGTTCTCTTTAGGAGAAAGATCGAGAGCTTGAAATTAGGAACATCTATGCAAGTCGGATACTCAAAAATTTACATGACAAAGAAGATTATCCAACAGGTAGGCCTTAATTATTTTTGCTTAAAATGTATTTTTAAGTGTGTGGTCCTATGTCCCTGCTTTAGATCATGAAAATAATGGGTATTTTAAACCATCACTTTATCAGGCACTGAAACACATGAGTCCAGAAGGACAAGGAGCCGGGCTGTGGGGGCATCAGCAGGAGGGACCGCGCGCGCCCTCTGGTCCTCCGGCCTCCGCGCCGGCCCGCGTGTCCTGCCCGCAGGCGAGAGAGGGCCGCCCTCCAGCCTGGAGGAGAGTGTCTGCCAGATATCGAACTTTCCACGTGCATCTCTTAGCCAGTGTGGGGGGGGGGTTCTTAATTTTTTTTTTTTTTTAAAGAGAGAGTGCAAGCAGATGAGGGGCAGAAAGCGAGGAGAGAGAGAATCCCAAGCAGGCTCTGGACGGTCAGCGCAGAGCCCGACGTGGGGGTCAGTCCCATAATCGGTGAGATCATGACCTGAGCTGAAACCAAGACTCGATGTTCAACTGACTGAGCCCCCCAGGCGCCCCAAAATGCACCCACTTTAAGTGTGCAATTCAGTGGGTTTTGACCGTAGTCAGTGCAGGACCTCTGCCTCCTCAGGAGGCCCCCCACGCACCCCCTGCCTCACGAGTCCCTGTCCTTGTCCCTGGGACAACCACCGATTCCCCTTGTCACCGCAGCTCTGATCGCCTGTTCTCGACTCTCCCGCACGTGAGGTCACACAGCAGGTGCTATCCTGTGTCTGGCTTCTCTTGTTCAGCCTAATTAATGCTTCGGGGAGTCACCCATGCTGCCATCATCCGTGTGTACCTTTCCGTTGCTGAGCGGTGTTTTTCCTTCGAGACGGGTGTACTTGTTCCCTCCACTCCCTGTTGCCCCCCACGTCTGCCAGCATAAGGCTTTGCTCAGAAGAGGCACAATAGAAATACCCTGTTTTGGTAGAAAAAGTCACTACGTGCTCACTTTTTTTTTTAACGTTTATTTATTATTGAGAGACAGAGACAGAGGATGAGCAGGGGAGGGTCAGAGAGAGAGAGAGTGAGACAGAGAATCTGAAGCAGCTCCAGGCTCCGAGCTGTCGGCACAGAGCCCGACGCGGGGCTCGAACCCACGAGCTGTGAGATCATGACCTGAGCTGAAGTCGGATGCTTAACCGACTCAGCCACCCAGGCGCCCCACTACGTGCCCACTTTTAAAGGCAATTACCCTCAGGGGCACCTGGATGGCTCCTCTGGTTAAGCATCTGACTCTTGATCTAGGCTCAGGTCTGAATCTCAAAGTCATGAGTTCAAGCCGTGCACTGGGCTCCATCCTGGGTGTGGAGCCTGCTTTAAATAAACAAAGGCAACACCCTTGCCATTTTCTTGCCTTCCTTTGTTTGCTTCCACTTTGTAATCCAGAAAAACAGCTGGTGGAGAGGATCGTCCCAGCCACGGGCCGTCTACACGGGGTATCACTTTGAGAAATGTGAGCTGTAGATTTGGCGGCGGGCGATCTAACCGCTGGTCATCAAGGGCGCCGGCGCAGGAAGTCTGTGGCGGGGGCCGCGTGTCCTCCCACGGCACCGCCGCTGTAGCCTCCTTGCCCTGCGGGCTAACACTGTGATCTGCACAACCTCACTGGCCCCGAAATAAGGCAAACAGGCAAAATGATGGGGAAAAGGGAAACTGGCAAATGTTATACGTATATTGAGAAAAAATGTTAATATCTGGTACACTTTGTTTTACCACATGTAAAATATGCTCCTTACATGTAATGTCCCTGTTCTGTAGTTTCTTCAACAAAATCCGTACAAGCAGACCGGAGAAGTGTTTTGTTCACAAGCATGAAACACCAGGAAACCCAAAAATCGGAAGATGTCCCATCTCTGACAACTAAGGTAGAAGAAATTTGAATTCCTTCAGTGTCTAAACCTAGCTTTATGAAAACAGACTATAAGCAGTCTCTCACTCTACACAGAAAGTACTTATGTTCAATGACTAAAATACAATTTAAAACTATCTGTACCCCCAAAATGTTTTGGGGGGTTTTTGCTGCTTTTCTAAATTACAGGGTAAAAAGACAACCAGAAACGTTGGTCACAAAGAAAAATCCACTGAAATGCCTCGTGTGGTTCCTCCCTGTACCAGCAAACTACCAAACCCACAGGAGTCCAAGAGAAAATGTGAAGGTAATTTTAACCACTTTAAAAAGTGTCCTTTACCTTTACTTGATTTTTTTAAGGTGTGAATTTGTGTGTGTATGTGTGTGTGTGAGAGAGAGAGGGGGGGGGGGAGAGAGAGAGAGAGAGAGAGAGAGAGAGAGAGAGAAAGTACACATAAAACACATGCATACAGGGGCACCTGGGTGGCTCAGCCGGTTGAGCATCTGACTTCAGCTCAGGTCATGATCTCTATGTACGTGAGTTTGAGCCCCACATCAGTCCTCCTCTCTCTCTGCCCCTTCCCTGCTTGCACTTTCCCAAAAATTAGGGAAAAAAACACAAACATACAATGTAAAGAATTATCATGAGAGGCACCTGGGTGGCTTAGTCGGTTAAGCGTCCGACTTTTGCTTAGGTCATGATCTCGCGGTTCGTGGGTTCAAGCCCCGCATCGGGCTCTGTGCTGACTGCCAGCTCGGAGCCTGGAGCCTGTTTCAGAGTCTGTG